GTGGCTTGATCTCTCTATTGACTTTGCCCTGTTGATTATCTTGCCTTCCTTCGTCAGCTCGGATCTGATCTCCTGTCAGCTCTGCAGCCTTCTAGGCTCTCTCTGGCAACGTCCACTGCATCTTGTCAGCCAACCGGCTGGAATCATCCTTGTTTTCTGGGTCTGGGCATGAACTGAATTGTCAAATCAGACGGTTCTGCCTCAGACGCTCTAGCTGCTGCAGCCGCTGACACTACAGATCCATTCGGCCATTGTTTGAACAAATGCCTTATAAGTATTCGACTGTCTGTCTTGCCTGAATTCTGAGTTCTACTTTCTGAGCCATTACATTTAGCATTCAATAACAAGAAACAAAAAAAGACACAAAAGTAATCCTAAACACCAAATCTCGTAACATTCTATGGAAATGAACTGATCCGGAATTTTAAGAAATTGCAAAAATGGAGTGGACAGAATACCAGATATTGTTTAGAAAACCAGCTTGATTTACAGTGTTCTTTTGACCATTGACAAATGCTGTTAACTTCCCATTAAAGACTCCAGAAAATCAAAAATATTGTGCTATTACTGATTTATTGACACATTTACAGCATAAAAAAACAACACATATAAAAATACATTTATAAAAGTTAACAAGAGCTTTGGTACCATATAGCTTGTGGCAGAGTGATTGTGTGCCTTTTGCACTGTCAGGAAATGTGGAGGTGTTCTTTTTAAAGGCCATGCAAAGTACGGAGTTATAAAACTATAAAAGAAAAGTGACACAAAGCAACAAGATGCACTTGGTTTACATGTGCACATTGGGTTGTCATCTAATGGTTTCTACTCACCAGTGTATTAAAACCATCCTTTTATGACACAAAAAAAATAGGGAATTAAAAAAAGATTTGATCCCTTTTTCCAACTTCATGTATTACATGTTCTGTGTAATCCACAAAGAAGCACACAAAAAATGAAAATGAAAATAAAAGACCCCTAATAACCTGGTTGCATAGGTGTTGTATTACTTTAAGTATCTTCTGATTTTATGCCAGTATGGAGTCTTCCTTGTTAGTCATCGTTACACATCCTTAATTTATAGTTTTTATTTTTAAACTCTCTCTGCGTTTTTCAATTTTTTTTTTTAGCACTTACTTTATGTAATTGTGACCTAAGGTTAGGTTACATTTCAAGAAGCCATCAGAAAATCTAGAACAAGGCTTTGGGAAATTCTAGTCAGGTTAATGTGTTTTCATTTGAAGTAAAAAGGCCTTATCTCAAACTACTTCAAAGTCATTATAAGGAGACATATAGAGAATACAGCAAAAACAGAGTTTTTTTTACATGTTAAAAGCAACCAGTGCTTACTTGAAATTCATGTTCTTCTCTCTTGTTTGCCTCCATGACCAGTCTCTGTGCCTTTTTTTGTGATTATAGGATAGCTCCTAGATTTCTCCTGAAATAACTTTTTATAAAGAGGTAAATTTAATTGTTTGTATCCTTTCTGTAAAATAAAGTATGCAAACACGCAAACTGCACTGGGAGAGCTCAACTCTATGAAAAATGGTCGGGATGTATCCCTGAAGCTGGACGGCTCAAATTGAAAACAAATAAACTTGTCTCCAGAGTTTAAATGTGCTTAAGTTTATGCAACCAGATCATTAAGTCTATTATTCTTTGATTTCCTTTTTCCCTTGTTTTCTAGTTGAATAATGGATATTTTTCAATAATAAGCTGAAAAAAGCTCTAAAGTTCTTTATCAATCTCGTATTTTAAGAATATAATACACTATATCCACCATACATTAAAGCAACCCTCTATAAAAGCCAAAACTAAAAAGTCAGTACAATGACTCTCATGTGTGCCACCTTGTGCTAAGGCAGTGATATGCTGCTGGAGTGTTTCCCTGTTTTTACTGATATCAGATTGAATTCAGATCAATCTAATA